TCTAAATCTGATCCTAACATGAGTTGACATCCCCAACTACTTAGGATATGATATACACGAAATGGATAATGGGTACAAGCATAATCAGTCATGGGACAAAGAGGTTATGACAAGGTAACCGCCAAAACTGCTTTTCATGTGCATTGCATGTGCCATCTTCACTTGGCCGGCTGAATCACGCCTACGGCTTGCTTTGTGCCAAGCCTTAGCTAAATTTGACATTGCTCCGCGCCAATGTCTTGCCCGCAACCTGCTGCCATGATTTTGCCGCACACGCCCGACGCCGCTGCCGCCCGCGCACTGCCTTTGCCTAGTTTCTGCCTTGCCCATGTCAACCTTCATTTCCCTCATGCCATTGCTTGTATTTTCCTTCACATAGCCTTGCCTTAGCTATTGAAATCCTTTTCCATCATCCCGCATTTCCGCTTTGCCTTAGCTTAGCCCGCACTTAGCTGCCACAACACAAAGTGTCGTGCCACTGATTTTGGCGCGCATGCCATGCCATGCCGCCCCAACACTGCCCATGCTGCCTTGTCAAGCCTTTGCCATGCGCGCCTTGCCTGTCCCAAGGCCTTGGCCAATACTTGCCCACAACAGCCCTCAATGACAATGTCTTGTCCGTCGCCCGCACGATCGTTTTGCCCGCACATAGGCCAATGACAAGGCCATCACGCCCCAATCCTTGCCATAGTCGTGCCCACGTCCGTTGACAAAGAGTCAGGTCCTAATAAACCACCCGCACCCTTTGAAATCGACGTCCTCGTCGAGCCAACTAAATTAATCAACCCCAAGGGGTTGTTGACGTAAAACGCCGCCCCTGGTGCTGCATTCACATCTGCCACTATAGTGTTTGCCTCCGCCACTTGTTCCTGTTTTTCCTCAGCTAGCATTGCATTCACCCTAGCTTGCACCAGACAGTCCTTCTTTAAGTGCGGTCCACCACAAGTAAAGCAGCCTTTGAATTTGCCGCTCCTTTCCTTGCCGTTGTGAATTTCCTGTCTCACATTCTTGCCAG